TCCCCAGACTTTCCCCCTGACCCCAATTCCCATCTGCTCTTCAGAGAGGGTAAGGCCTCCCTAGGATGTCTACTAATCTGTCCTATTATCTCATTGAAGCAGGACCAAGACACCTCTCGACCCCCACACCCCTGTGTCTAGGCTGAGCAAGGTTTCTCTCCATATAGAATGGGCTCCACTGAGTCAGTTTGTGCATTAGAATTAGAAACCCTGTCCTGTCTTCTTTAAGTTGCTTTTGTCAGAACATTTTGTCACTGTAATGGGAAAAGAAGGAGGACCTCTCTTAGAGGTTTTATTTCCCTGTCTACTGCGCCTGCTCCTCAGTCCCATGCCCCTTCATGCGGTGGTCTCTAGAACTGCTTTCCTCCTTTTTTCCAATCACTGCCCAGCTTGAACAACTGACCTGCTCAACACTGCCTGTATCCAGCATCCTTTCTTCCCTGTGCCCCCTCTCATCCCTCCCCCTCCCTCTTTCTGTCTTTCCATGTGTGCCCCCCTCTGTGTCTCTGTGTCTCTGTCTTTGTCTCTATCTCTCTCTGTCTGTCTCTGCCTCTCTCTCTGAACCCAGGGCCTTCCATGCTGAACCACTGAATCCCATCCTTAGCCTCGCTGTTCTATGAGATCACCATGCACCATCTCTCTCCCACATTCTTGCGTGTGTCTGGGGACTGCCCCCCACCCCCACTTTTGCCTGTAGAGATCTTACAGCATTCTTCACAGCACAGTTCAAATCTCAACTTATGTTGATGCTTGCAACTGCCTTTGAAAGCCATCAGAAGAAAAAAAAGGGGATGAAGGGGATGATTAGAGAGAGGAATGGACAGGCAGTTATAAAATAAATCACATTTAGTAAGACAGCAATTTAGAATCTATATACCAACCTATAAATACTCACAATGTAATACTTTCCATTTTGTTTCAAATTGTCAAAATACATAGTAAAACAATTGCAATAAGCTAAAATTAAAAATAAGCACCTCATTTTTTTTTCACAATAATCTTAACCACACCAAATCTAGCCATAGGCACTAAGAAACCAAGAACAGATTACAGATTGGTCTGAGTGTAAGACCCAGATGCACTGTTTGTCTGCTGGGTGACCTTAAGCATGTTACATGTCAACTCAGAACTTTAGTTTCTTCATCAATTTGTCTTCTCTCTAAGACTGTTGTGAAGGTTAAATGACAAACAGGACTGTGAAGTACTTGCCAAACTAAATGAGTCAGTACTAAATGCATTTTAACTGAAAATAAACAGCAGCATTTCTCCTTTGAACACCTCAGCATATGATACTGGGGAACAGTTCCTCTGCGCTATTTACCATTCCTCATACAGTTTTCCCTCCCTCCACTCCTTCCCTACACCACCTCTCCTTTCCTCCAATCCACTCCCTTTCCTTTTCCCTTCAGAAAAGAGCAGGCTTCCCAGGGATGTCAACTGAACAGGGCATAACAAATTACAATAAGACTAGGTATAAACCCTCATATCAAGGCTGTGCAAGGCAGCCCAGTAGGAGGAAAGGGGTCCCAAGAACAAGCAAAAGAGCCAGAGACACCCCCCTATTCCCACTATTAGGAGTCCTGCAAGAACATCAAGCTAATAATCATTACATATTTGCAGAGGGCCTAGCACAGACCCATGCAGGCTCTGTGATTGCTATGCAGTCTTTGTGAGCCCCTATGAGCCCTGCTTAGTTGATTCTGTGGACTGTGTTCTCCTTGTGTCTTCTACATCTCTGGGTCCTACAATTCTCCACCACCCTCTTCTATGGGGTTCCTGGAATTCAGAGGGGAGGTACCCAATAGAGACCTCCATTTGGGCTCTCTCTCCACCTACTGTTTGGGTGTGGGTCGTGGAGAATTAATTTAATTAATTGCTACAGAATGATTTATGCAACAAATGAATGGTAGTTATGTATCCCTTCTATTGATGACCTCTGATACTGCTCTGGTAGAGCCATTCAACTAGTACTTATGAAGCAACTACTATGAACATCAGCAACCCTGTGCAGAGCACTGACAGGCCCACTCCTAGCCTATTTACTTATTAGTAAAATGGAACGCTTCCATGCTGGGTACTTCTATGTAGTTTTGGCATTCTCTGACGATGATAAAACCCTTTTGATGATAATTCCAGATAAAAATATATGCTTGTATGTCTGATAGAAGCATATGTTTGTATCATTGTCCCCCTTATCAAATGTGAAAATAATGAGGCCAATTCCCCAAGGCCTGACCTATGGACTTTCAGACCTCTTTTTCTTGATCTCACTAGACCCACAGTCAAGCTTTGTATCAATACTAGTGTCAATGACTTTGGGCTTAGCTTTCCCATTAGTATATTCAAAGTCATTCAATATGTCACTGATTCTTTTCTACAAGCAAGTGTTTTGTTTACCATTTCATTTCTCACATTTTATTTAAACAAAATTATTCGATTTTCTTAGTGTTAAGAAAACCCATTTAAAGGGAGAGTTGTGGGGTATTTATAAATATTAATAAATATAAACATTGATATTAATATTGTGTGCCTGTGATGTCCCATGCTTTGTGTACATGTTATTTTAGTCAGTTTTCACCATACCTGTTTACCAACTGATGAAAACTAACTCCAAGTGATTAAAGAAAGAATGCAACATTGTGTGACTGATAAGCAGTGCCAGTCTGTGAAATAGGTCTAGCTTTGGAGTAATTAAGCAAAGACAACTGGATTCTCCCCACCATCTCTGCTCCTACACCCTTTGCAGTATAACCTTATAGCTCTTCCCAACAAGAATTGGCACCTATTTCCAAACACTTACATACTGATGTTGTAATTGCAATTGTGTTAGCCAATAAAGAGGAATGACAGAGGGGCTGGCCTATTGGACTATTAGGGTTCACATGGACCAGCTTGAGTCAGCCCAGTTGTTCATTCCAAGGCCACATTGCTCTGTGCTGTCTGGTTACACAGTTCTTGGTATTTACCCCTCCAGATCAAATAATCTCCCCCATAACAACATAATTGTTGCCAATCACTGGGGGTACAATTTAAGGTTGAAAAGGATTCAAAAACAGCGAGAGTGAAAGGGGCATAAGGCCCATATGCCATAACTGCCTCCTTCAACTGTTTTATATCCTTAAAGTTGAGAAGGGAATATTCTCTCTGACTCTGGCCTTGAGGATTAACTAACTGTCTCTATAACTGGAAACATCACTTGCCCTTCTGCATTTCAGGAAGGGCTGAAGGAAGATGGAGAGTTCAGGATTACAGGCAGGGGGACTCGGCTCAAGGGAACATTTTTTTAATTTGTTTTTTAATTTGAGGACACCTTTCTCCATCTCAGCCCCCAAAGAGGGAGAGGACTCAGAAGAGTAAACATTGGAAGCTTGAATTAATCTAGTAGACTCTAGGTCTTGAGCCTCTGTGAAGGTATCCCTAGTTTTTCTGACCCTGTCCTTCATTACCATATTATCACTATAAGTGTGCCCTTAACAAAATGTCACAGAGAAAAGGCAACAATTGGTATAGCGTTTGGCCCTTCTTTATGTAAGGTTCTTTGTAGGTCCACTGTAACCTGATTCCAATCAAGGGAATTAAGATCACTAGAGACCAAAAACCAAGGGCTGACTTTATGTATAGTTTTTAAGAAGTCCTTAGCTGTCTTATGTCTGGTGACCGTGCCCTGACATTGTAACTACTGGATCAAATGGTCCTCTCAAAGAGGGTAGGAAGTAGCAGCACCCATACCTAATATACTTACTCCTAACCTTAAGGAGAGTGCTGGCTGGCTTTCTGTGGGGGTGGGCTCTCAGGAATTCCCTGACAATTTTGATGCCAATGGGTCAAGTCAGGGCTGGGAGCCTAACTTTAAGACGCCCCTCTATTGAGGCTGACCCACCAACTAGGGCCTGACTTTTAAATCGCCCCTCTTCGGGGCCTGACCTTTAAATTGCTTCTCTTCAGGGCTGACCCGCTTTCTGGGGCCTGGCTTTCTGAATCACACCTCTTATCTAACTTGCTGGCCAGCATTCAAGTGTAATTCTTAGCAGTTCCTCTTCTTTCCCAATCTCAGTGGGACCTACATCTGTAGCGAGCCGCAGGTGTGTTTGCGGCCATGGTGCTACCATACTTCACAAAGATCCAAGGCAAAGGCCTAAGGATGTAAAATGAAGACAAAGACAGAGGCTCATTCTTACAAGAAGAATGATATTTATTCTTACAAGGGTAGATAGAGCCTTAAATATCAAAGGCAGGCATGGTGGAAAATCCCCAAGGTCAGAAACCTATGTCCCCAGAGCCCTCCAGCAAAAGGTGGGCTCAAAACAAGAATTAGCATTTAGACAAAGGATGGATAACAGGAACTTGCTGCTGCAGGCAATGCTGAGAGGAGGGGAAGAGAAGTATTTAGCTAAAAGCTCCTAGAACAAGAGGTCAGCAGACAGACCCCCATGGGGGAAGGGTGCAACACTTAGAGGTGGGGCTCATGCTTCTGACAGGAAACTAGGCCGTCCAAAAGCAAGGGGAGGCTGTTGGGGGAGCAAGCCTGTATCAATCAGTCAAATCTGTCCCCACCGCCAGACAACAAGGTGCGTTTCCTGGGCAGCTCAAACAAGGGCTCATGTCAAAGAACTTCAAACTAACAGCTGAAGACAGAAGACTGCACTGGGGGATGGAGGATGAGGGAGTGTCTCAGGAACTGAGGGCAATACTCGGGGGCAGGGGGGCAGATGCACAAGAAACAGCACCAAAGGTTTCCTGTTCAGCAGTCTTTTGGCAGAGGGGAAGATCCAGGAGGCAGTGGAAGGGAGCAAGATGAGTCCCGATGGTTTCTGGAGCCTGGGTCAGAAGACCTCCAGTACAGCACACCAGTGACAATCACAACTCTGGCCCCCGAACGGGGGAGATGAATGGGGCGGACATGCCACTGACTGGAGGTGATAGAAGAGCCTTCAAGTAGCTATAGTGGGGCCACAGAGAATGCATGGCCACCAGGTCAGCCTGGGTGGGAAGGCACGGTCTCACAGAGGAGGTCCATTGACGACTGGATCGTAGAAGGCACACGGATCTTCATGTCGACAGTGGCCCTCTTTGGAAAAGTGTCGGCAGTCAGGGCGGTCAGACTTGTCTTCCATCATGTGGGGGCCGTCCTTCGGTGGGTAGATGTTCTTGGCAAGAGACCAGCTTTTGAGCCTTAGTGAATGTCTTGGCTCTGTGTGAAAGCTTTCCCTAAAGGGGTCCCCATGGCCTGGCCCAGGAAAAAGAGGTTCGGTATTGACACCCCACCAACCACGACCATACGGGCCACATCTAGGACCAAGGCCTTCTCGAATAGGGCCTCTGTCCCTGGGAGGAGGTGGGAGGCTCAGCAGCGGTGGAATCATTGGTCTCCTTGATCCTGGAGGACCACCGTGAAGAACTGACTTGGAATCACCAGGCACTCTCACCTAACCAGTGGAAGTGTGGTCACAAATTGTCTTCCCGTTCATCACAATCTATAAAATGGCTGCCGCCCCTCTCCTCCGCCATGCTTCGGCTGCACAAGCCTGATTTCGGCTGCCACCTCCCCTGCCTTCTCCAGAAAGGGTTAGGAGCCAGACTGAGGTTGAGGGTTCAAGCAAGCCAACTCCTCATTCAAGCTCTCCCCAGCAGCCCTCCCCTCCCCAGCCCCCACCCTGTCCCACCTCATTCTAACCCAGAAACGTTCTCTTTCAAGAGAAGACTAAATGATAATGAGCGAGACCTACACACAACAATGCCAGATGCCTCCTAAGTCTTGGGATGGTTCCCACGGGACTATTCATGAAAGAAACACAGCGGAAACTGATTGACTGGATCTGTTTGGAAAATGGACACAGTCATCTTCGTCTAGGACTAATTAACCCTTCTGGACTCTCTGTGATGAACTTAATGAATTAATTATCCTTTCTTCATTTGATAAAATTACGGAGTACAAATTGAAGAAAACAAAGTCTCCCAATGCTGGGGCTATAGCTCAGTACTGTTGAATAAAAACCGCTGGAATCAATGCCCAATGCCACAGGAGTATCCAGTTAAATGAACAATAGCCAAATAACCTTTAGCTTCTGTACCATTAGTACATCTTTTAAATAAAGATTTATTTATTTTTAGTTTTGTTTACATGCACTGGGTGAGTATATGCGAGTGTCCACAGAAACCAGGAGAAGGTGTTGGATCCCCTGGAACTAGAGTTAACAGGTAGTTGTGAGCTGCAGCCAGATACGGGTGCTGGGAACTGAACTCTGGAAGGACAATAAATGTTCTTAACCACTGAGCCATCTCTCCAAGCTTCTATATAAGCACACCTTAAGTGCGATCAGGTTGTTGTTGAAATTATCATTGTTGTTGTTATTATTATTATTATTAATCTTCATGGTTTTAAAACAGGAAATTACTGTATCTTACCATGCTGGCTTCCTTCTACAGACATACAGATTTATGTACAATAATTAATTCTTATGGCTTTAAATAATATTACGTAAATAAATGGAATAACCACTCAGAGAGTTTCTACCAATATAAATAATAACTACTGTTCATATTTTGGTTTCATCCATACACAACTAATGAAGAACAACATGAAAAGATGCTACTTTGTCCTCAGTTCCTTCTCACACCAAACACAGCAATGGTGGCCAGTCTGACCGAATTCTCCACTCCAAGATTGTTACATCAGGAAAGACTTCCCGGTGACTCACTTAGCATGACACAATTTGGAGCTGTGGCCTAGGAATTCTTCAGGGAGACACAGGCTTTTGGAAAGGAAGAGGGGGCCCAAATACATAGGACCCAGCTTCCCCTCTTCCACACTCTCTCTTTAAGAGTCATCATTGACTTCCCACACCAACCCATCGGCCAGCCGGGCCAATTATCTCATCAAAGTAACCTCAAAATCAGCCTTCTTTTTCAATTAGTTCTGTTGCCCACCCCCATCCGTTTGCCATGTCCTCTTCCCCTGCACTGCAGTCACTTCCTACCGGATCTTCTTGCATCTGGGCTTAGTCTCTGCTGTCCATTCTCTGTAGGGTGTTCTCAAAGCTCAACTTGGATGTCATTGCTCACCTGGGATGACACAGATGAATACCCATCTGCTTCCCAGGGCACGGTGACAGTCTACACTCTCCTGTACTGCTTGCTACGCCACAGGCTGGCTGTCCCACAACACGTGCCACACTCCACAGACTCCAGGACACTTGTCTTGCTACACAGCCTTTCGTTAAGCACCAGGTCAGGGGTGCAGGGGACAGGAACATCTGCCTAAGAAGCTCTTTAGCTTTGTTATAAAAGCCTAATTACAATTGTCCCCTTCCCAGAGGGTCATCTAACCCCATTCATTTATGCTTAGCCTTCTTTGCTCCATTCCTCTCTAGCAAAGCCCTTTTTATTTCCTTCACAATGTCAATCACAATGGAACTAAAAGGAAAATGTTTGCTTATTTGGTTGAGGGCTATGTCTGTGCGCCATGTTCTGTGTGTGGCAGTCAGAGGACATTTGAGCATTGATTCTCATCTTCCATCATGTGGGTTCCTGAGATCAAACTATCAGGCTTGGCTTGGCCTAGAATTTTTTCCTGTTCGTTACCTCCAGACATGTTCATCCTTTTGACATTATGACAGGAAGTTATCTCCAAAAGAACAAAATTATGGGGTTATCAAAAACATCACCTGGTTGGAAAGATTGTCCAGTGGTTAGGGACCAGAGTTATGATTTTAGCACCCACATTGCACAGCTTACAACCACCTGCTCCAGACTATCTAGTGCTTTCTTCTGGCCTCTGAGAGCTTCTCCACACACATATCATTCACTCACACAGACATGTATACACATTAGCAAAATAATATAAAAATTTTAAATGTTTAAATCACAAAAAAATGACATTTAAAGTAAGTTTATGATTTTGTGCTTGGCAGCATTCACACCTATCCTAATGGGCATAAGAACTGCAAGGCCCTGGCTGGATACACCTGCAACTAAAACCTCAAGGAGAACAGGAATGGTGTCCATTGTGGTCACCATTGTGTTCCCAGAACCTAGGATGATACTTGGCATATATTATACACTCAATGATTAGATGAATGATTGAAAGAATCCAAACTTCTCATTGTTGAATTCCCTGAAATAGACAAGTTAGAAACTTCCTTTTCAGCATAGTAAGTTTATTCATTCTAAAATTAAATTATATTCCAGGGCTACAGTTAGTGACTGGGGAACTAATTTCTGTGAGTCCATTGTTCTTCTAATCCAGTAGAGATGGATCTCAATGCTATTGGGATGTTTCTATGGTCATAATAGTTTGCTTTTTTTTTTTACAATTAATGAAACTGGTAGTATATTATCAATAACATAATTGGTTACTTAGTTTAGAATATATATTTAATTCATTAATTATAACAAATGCAGCATATAGATCATGTGTTAGTAATAGAAGGAACCAGGAATTTCCCTGTATGGCCTCAAGTTTTCTGTCAATCAAAATAAAAAATAAATCAAGGGCTGGTCAGGTGATCCTGCAGTTAGGAGCACTGGTTGTTTTGTCAGGGGACCTGGGTTCAATTCCCAGCACAAGCTTATATTGTACAACTGTTGGCAACTCCAGTCCCAGGGCATTGGAACCCTCTTCTGGCCTGCTTGGGTCTCAGACACATGTGTGGTGTACAAACATACATGTAGGCAAACCACCATCACATATAAAATAATAAAATTGAAAATGTTAAAAAAAAACAAAAAAAGAGTTTTCTTTGCCTCTTTTGGTAAAGATATACCAATGTTCTTCTCTAAGAGGGGAAAAAAGCAAGAAAGAAGGATTTTAATTCTGTAAAGGAATGCCAACGGATTCTAAAACAAATGCTATTAATTATTGTGGTTCTAGGCAAACATCATTCAATGTGAATCCATGTGAATAAAAATATAGACTTTGGATGTTAAATATTCTAACAATCAATTTGGGAGTTAGAAAATAAGCCAAAATATTTCTCCCCCAAGTACAAAGAGGGAGATGAGGACAATCAAAGCACAAGGGAACTCCCTGCTCATCACAAAGTAAGACAGGTCACAAAGGCTAGGTAGAGAGCTCTGCTCCCACCTGACTGGTGAATGGAAGTGCTTCCCAAGGCTCACTCATCCACTAAGAGACAGCAACACCAGCTGCATCCAGGAGCAAATGTCTTTCTTTCCACTCCTGCCTATAGAGACTAGGACACTTTCTAATTTTTCCAATTCCTTCTTTAAAATATTGCATTATCCATCAAACAGTGACTTAATCCAGCACCCTAGCCACACCACCACCTTGAGTTGCTTTACTCCTATCTTATGGTCACTGTACATGTTTATAAAACTGACCCCCTCCCTACTCATAGTTCAGAGTGACTTTGAACTCCTGAACAGAATTACTGGTATGCACCACTCCCCTTCACCTGGCTTGCTTTCTTTCTTGCCTGCTAATCTGTCTTTCATTACAGGAATCTGTGTCAGTTACGAATCAATGGATACTACAGGAAATGCCTTCCTCCTCTTCAGCATTACCTGCAAGAGGTCTACACTAGTGGGGTTGAGTTAGATCTCGCTACTCTCTAACTGTAGCACAGGGCGTACTGAAGTAAACTAGGGAAGGCTATCAGACTAGGGAGGATGGCAATGGGTAGATGATGAAATCTAGATTTCGAGTCCCTTTCAACTGCTTTGGACTCTTCAATTCCAGCTAGTCAAGCCAACCCAACTACACAGCTATTGAGAGCTTTCTAAGAGTCAGGAAGGAATCTGAAAATATGCCAGTGCACTAAATAAAATCAAAAGCCAGAGAAATGCAGAGGAACCAAGACTTAGATTGATGGTAAATTCTGGATATGACTTTCCCACTGCACTGTCAGCTTGACACAAGAATTAGCCCTGTAATAATCATTAGTAAAGAAGATTCAAAGAAAAATCACTTGCTTAAACATGACCAAACGAGTTTTAGTCCTTGGCTCCATGAAACAACCACCAAATGCATTTGAATACCTCTCAAATTTGCAGCCACCCATGGGATTCACTTAACTTCATCTGCTCATTCACATCTACATATTTATCAAATTTCCTATGCGACATTGTGCTGCTCTTCTTAATTTAATAATAGAATTCATATGCACTTCTTTTATTAGATTTATGAAATAATAGAATTTCTGGCCTGCCCAGAACTTCTTACAACGTCATCTGATAGCTGTTTTCCAGTTGACTGTCATGTTAATAGTTATGCATGTTTGACAAAGCCATCATAGTGCCTGCTTAAGACCCAGCCACTGTAGTGTATCGTTTGTTTTCCCATTAGCCCCTCCAGGATAATCATCATTTTCCACATTAGGTACCACTGTACACTCATTGTTTGTGCAAATCTCATACTTTCAAATGGTGGCCAAAGTCCCTTGGCAATCCTTTTCCGTCCTCCATTGGTTCCAGTTCACAGTAGTTGTCTCCATGCTTGTCAGACGTATTCCTACGTTTTGTAGCTATTGTCTGACTAAGTGACAAAAAAGAAAGAAAGAAAGAAAGAAAGAAAGGAAGGAAGAAAGAAAGAAAGAAAGAAAAACAGATTTTAATGGCAATGTAGAGCAAAGTCATTAACTTCCCTGAGTCTGGCACCTCATCTGTAAAGTCAAGGGATTGAACTAGGTTCCAGGTTAAACTGCCGACTCCAGGGCAGGTGTTCATGCCTCGGGTGAGTTGGAATTGACCCTCAAAGCATTAAAAAAAATTCTCACCCAGTGACAATTATGATTAAACATACATACCTACAACCCTGTCACTCAGAATGCTGAGGCAGCGTGAGTCTAACCTTAGACTGCCGTACATTGTAAGTTCCAGACATGAGACATCATGTCTTAAAAACACTTTTTTTTGCCAAAATCAAACCCCTCAAACACACACACACACACACACACACACACACACACACACACACACACACACACACACCATTTTTTGCCTATAACGGTGGTGTATACCTTTAATCTTAGAACCCAGGAGGCAGAGGAAGAAGATCTCTGTGAGTTTGAGAAGTTAGCCAGCTAAGGATACACAGTAGAACCTTGTCTAAAACCATTTTTATTAAAAAAATCTCATCCACTGATATGATAATTCTGCTAACTTTTTTAAATTGTAAGAGTGTCCACAAAGCTTTAGATTCTTTTGAAAAATACAAATCTGAGTACTCTGAATAAATTCATATTTGCTTTTTATCTTTGTCTCTCCTCTTCTTTTTTCCTCCATTGTTTCCTCTTTAATTTTGTTTTTAATTGACTTTCCAAAAATACACAGGCTGGCCTGGTTTGCCTGGTCTCTATGTCTCAGTCTTTTGAGAGGTGGGACTGTTTGAGGTTATCTAATTGCATTTTTGTCTCAA